AATCTTTGAAATACGTGGAGTTTGACTCTTCTCTCTCTTACACTGGGATAAATGAAGAATAATTGCATTTCAGTGACTTAGATACACTAGCGTATTTGGAAAGGAAATTGAGCTTGCCTGCTCTCCCAGGATTTTAAAAGATTTACATTTTTAAGGCAGAACTGTTTATCCTTAAAATTTGTACTCATACATTCAGAGGAAGAATTGTGGCCCTGTGTCACAGAGTAGAAGCTGTTGACACATGATCTCTACAGGTTTAAATCCAGGCCGAAGTCTTTATGCCATCGTGTGCGTTCAGTACTGGTTGGCTTAACTTTGCTACTGGCTTTAGTATTTGCGGTTTAAAAAAAGCCAAACTGGATAATACCTGTTAAGTGTTTGGTGAATCTCTGAAATATACCTTATTTTATATTGTCACTTTTACAATGTTAAATTATTCTTGCTTGAAGGTTAAAAATCAGTCATTATTGTAGGCAGACAGAGCTGAAGAATTCCTACTGAATTTGAAAATCTGTCCTCTGACTTTCCATGTCCATTGTTCAGCTTCAGGCAATGTCTTGACATATAGTTATGTTGCCAATACATATGCATTGACTGAAATGTTCTTATGCCTGCCCTGCGGGTCTTTGTTTCTAGCAAACCTGTGTCATATTTCCTTTCTAGTGATTTCTTCTCTGTGCGCAACTTAGGGTTTTTTTGATCGACAAAGGACTAAGAAAGTGTGTTCCATTGGTGGCCTAAGAAGTCATCAAGCCCTGTAGTGTTCAAAAACAGAAGAGACATGCTGGATTTTCTTATTTTTTTTTGGTTAGTTGTATACCCTTGGAGAGCATAACTGAGGAGAAAAATGCAGGAGGTGTGCTGAAGTAAGCATGTATTATTTCATTCCCATTTCTGATCAGAAGGTTATTGCACTGTCATTACCGCAGACAATAGAATCTGAATCTGAATCATTGGTGAATATCTACGATTTTATGAAAGCAGGTTGTTGTTGATGACAACTTCAATGTGAGCCATCCTTGTGTGCTTGGGGAGTTTGGGGCCTGTGCTTGTTTGAGCTAGCAGACTAATCCCTGCTTCCAGATACCCTTGCATTCCTGTAACAAAGAGGTAATCCTCTGGTGTAACTCAGTATTCACTAGTCTGGTCTCAAGAGGAGAATTACATTAAACAAAAAGCATTTCCTTGCTCCTCCCTTTGCTTCTGGGCAAAGAACAACATGGTTCACATATAGGCAGTAGTTAAATGTTTTGTTGAGATCATACATGCAGATGTGCACATCAGTGTCCTCTCTGTTTAAAGGCTGATACTGTTAAAATTGTTTCCCCATTTTGAAATTCTTGTCTTTTTTGTCATTCTTGACAGTGCCAGATTAATGCTTATTTACACTGGGGTTCATTCACACACAGTTTTGAGCCTTCTTATACTGTCACATTATTGGCAAGGGGAAGCAAGCCTTGAAAAAAAATTTAAGCTGTTTTTACAGATTGGCATTGGAGAAGATGATCTCTCCCTGCAGTCAGTTTTTGTGGGTATAGAGGGCATGTCAGTGAGTGCAGACTAGTGACTAGAATGCAATGAAAATTTGGCACTGCTTGATTCTCAGAAGAGATCCCAGAGAGACACCTGTATCATCAGTCATGGATGGGGCCACGTGTGCTCTTCAGGTGTGTTTGCCCCTCGAGTTCTCTCTTGCCTCTGAATGCATCGCTGTGTGTAGGCTTGGGCCATGCTGTAGTGCTGTCCGGAGCAGGAGGGGATGGGTCTGAAGTCTAGCTGCGTCAGGTATGGACAAGTCCAGTCTACAGCAGATGGCCAAAGCTCTGCTCTTCCACAGCTGATTTTGGTTGGTTTTAACCTAAGCTATGGCCAGGCTAATGTCTATGGCTGTGTTGGAAACGCAGAGAGGTCAGCATGTTTATGCTCCATTCTTAAACCATCTCTGGTTTAGACTGTGATCTCACACACTTTGAAATAGCTCTGTAAGCAAGTGTTGTCTTGTGGAAATTTTTAATGTAGCTTGTGTGGAGTTTCGTAGCTGAATACATCTAGGGGAGCTGTAGGGTCAATGAGCAGTTCAGGGACTCAGTCTTGGAGAAAATTCTACATAAAAAGGCAAGATAGGATGTAGTTCGACTTTTTAGAAAGTGAGTGGGAAGCATTTGAAGCATACAAAAAGAATTGGGACATTTGAGGAAACTTGTCTTTCCCAGTGCAGACATTAATAACCACTTTAACAGTATTGTTTACCTCCTGCTGCTTCACTGGAAAGAGCAAATTTTAAGTGTAATTTCAGAACGAACCATTTTTTTCAAAGCCAGACTGATTCAAAGCCCTAAGCAAATTACTGGGTTTGTTGTTAAAAATGCCCATGTCATAGAATGGGTGATTATTTTTATCCCATAGTTCTCAAAACAGAAACAGAAAAGAGCTGCTACTTCTTCATTTAAGGTGAGGTTGCAAGAGAGAGAAGTTAGGTTGGGGTTTTGTTGTTTGTTGTTTTTTTTAGTGAAACGCTTCTTTTAGTTGTCATTATATATGCCACACATAGAACAGAAGAGACTAATTTTCTCTCACTGGCACATGGAGGGCAGCTTTGTCATACAGCAGGTCCCCTGTCATGCTTAACTTGCACTCTAAAAAACTCTTTCCTGTGTCTTTTTGGATGCACTTCATCACTTTGTGCTGGATACCGATTAGTTTTAACAAGGATGCACGGAGACTTCCACAAAGTCCCAGAGGGAATTATTTCAGAGATTTCAGAGTAATACCTCTGATGCTTAGCCAGTTTGGAGGTGATCATCTGAAGCATGAGATAATATTTCAGAGTGACCTGATGTCCGAGGAGGGGATTTCTGCACAGAAGAGAGTAACAGAACACAGAAGCAGTAGCAGTCATAGAATCATAGAATCGTTAAGGTTGGAAAGGACCTCTGAGATCATTGAGTCCAACCTGTTAACTCAACTGCCTGGTCCACCTCTAAACCATGTCCCTAAGCACCACATCCACATGTTTTTTGACTGCTTCCAGGGACTGATTGCACCACTTCCCTGAGCAGTCTGTTCCAATGCCTAACCACTCTCTCCGTGAAGAAATTTTTCCTAATATCTAACCTAAATCTCCCCTGGCACAACTTGAGCCCATTTCGTCTTGTCCTATCACTTGTTACTTGGGAGAAGAGAAATGTCTTGGATGAAAAGTCCAAGAGAAATGTCTTGGATAGGAAGAGCAGATGAACTATGGGAAAGGAATTTTTTTGCAAATGCTTTTCCAAAAGTCCCAAACCAAAAATGAAAAATTCCCAGCTCTAATTCCGATTGGATTTTTCTGCCCTTTTTCCTTCCTGAAATACTTTGATTTGTACTTACATCCTTTACTGCTTAGGGATTTTCACTGTCTTTTTAAAAGTGTGTTTAGAACACAGATTTGTGAAGCCAATTTAAAGCACCCAAAATCACCTCTTAACTGCTAGCTACTTCGTTGCTTTCTTCAAAATAAAACTACAAATTTTTCTGAAAAAGAAACAAAAATATTATCTCTGGAAGCTATTCAAAAGACCATGCTCCTTCTGGAAAGAAGTGCTAACTGTTCATATGGGTTGATTTTTTAAGGTATAATCCATAAAATTTGGCTTATGGAAGTCAATTCTCCCATGACAGGTGAAGAAAAAGGAGAAAGCAGGAAGTTGTTTTCATTAATGAAGACAAGAGTCAGAGTATCGTAGCACCTAACTCACAGAGCAAACAGAGCTGGTCCAATATCTACCAAAGACTGATGCTGCCAGAATCTCTGAAATCCCGGAAATATGCCTCAATAGGAGAGATTTGCTCCAGAAGCAGAGCATACCTGACTATGTAAGCAGGAAGGCACTTGAGGGTGTTCATGGTTGTACAGTTCTTTGTACCATCCAGAGCTACATCAGATGGTACAAAGTGGCTGTACTGAGGGGAGACAATGAGAGGCTGACTTGCAGCCTGCAAGAGAAAGTGTGGCCATTAGGAAGATTTGTAAACAGTGAAATTAATGGAATGTGAGCTTTTTTGGCTGCATTTCAGTGTTCATATTATGTAACCTTCTCAGCATATTTCCTGAACTTTACATCAGGAGGTATCTTTTTCAGCACAAGTGTCTGAGTTCTGTTTCACGTGGTAATCTGATCAATCAATATTTCACTTTATCAAGACCTGTTGATTAGTCACTCCCCTGTTTCTCACATCAACCTGTGAAATAAATAAAGATAATTATGGTAGTTTCCTGATGGACAGAATTCAAGGCAGAAAAAGATAAGACTCAGACTTATCCAACCAATCTGAAGTTCTCAGGTGAGAGACGCCTTTTCCTTATGCATCTTTCTTTCCTCTGAAGACACCTCCTGAATCCCTTTAAGGCTTGTGCATGTAGATGCCCAGAGTTAAAAATATTAAATGGGAAATAAATGTGTGCAAAAGCTTCAGGAATGATTAATTGCTTCATTGTTTGTGGTTCATACATTTTAGCAAGTATAGTTTGTAGATCATATATATTTATAATGTGTAAATCAAGGGCAGGGCTTTTTGCTAGCTTGTGTTAGCTTGTTACTACGAATTTGTATGCATTAAATGCTGATGTAGTTTTGAACGGCAAGGATTTTGTCTGAATGGATTTTTTACACCTCTAAATCAAGAATGTCTTCATGAGGTCAGGACAGATTTCATCAGTGAAAATCTGGTGTGTCTTCTGGGACTGGGCTTCTTTTCAAGAATATGAATCATGGACTTTGATACTAAGTCCCCAGGCAGTCATTGGAGAGACCTCCACCGAGTTTGGTGGGCTTTAGTTCACCCCTGTAAGAACTCTACAGTACTTTAAGTGGAGAATGCTCCTTCCCTAAGTGACACTGGATGTATGAGGTAGAAAAAAATAATGTAAAAAAGTAAAGCCACACACCTGAAAAATTATGCTAGCTGTGAAAGGTGGATATCCTGAACTCATTTCTGTCATGTTTTCTTTTGCTCAACAGCTTGTCCGCCAGGAACATATAAGCCTGAAGGTTCACCAGGCGGAATCAGCACTTGCATCTCATGTCCCGATGAGAATCATACCTCTCCACCAGGAAGTACCTCCATTGAGGACTGTACATGCCGGGAGGGATATCATGCTGTAGGACAAACCTGTGAAGGTAAGTGTTTCCACCCAGAACAGAATACCCCTGGAATGCAAAGTGCAGTGCTGGGACAATTTTGTTATTTGTGTTTGTACTGTGAAGGACCTGTCAAATTGCATGCAAGATTTTCTGTGTCATTCCAAAACAATGAAAGTACCAAGATGCAAGTCAAGTTGGAAATGAAAAAAATTGTTTTCCTTCAGTAGCCTATTGCACTCCAGCTAGCATCTTAACTCTGTTGTGGTTGTTTAATTATTTAGTTGTTCACTGCCCTGAACTGAAGGCCCCTGAAAATGGTTACTTTGTCCAGAATGTCTGCAACAATTACTTTAATGCTGCCTGCGGGATCCGATGCAAAGCAGGATTTGATCTTGTGGGAAGCAGCATCCGGCTTTGTCAGCCAAATGGCCAATGGTCTGGATCAGAGGCTACTTGCAGAGGTATGGATGTCATGTGTTTGAAAAGTCTGTTTCTGTTGGATCAGTGTGTTCTTAACTGGTTTTCTCTGCTCACTACATAGTTGGGCATGCAGATCTGATCCTGTTAGCTCTTGGGTGAAAAAATGTTCCAAAGGTAAATTCCCACTCCAATTACTCTGTTTCCCTGCTTCCTGAAATGGAAGGAGGACAATAGAAAACATAGAGCAATGTTTACTAGACAGACAGTCTTTTGCAAGTGACTCTCCTCCCTTAAACCTCTGTCCACCTGATTTCTATGAATTTTGTATCTACATTATGTAAATCCAGCAAACCTATGAAGTAGTCAAATATATAACAGAAGCTAGCCACATGGGTGTTTTAGAATATCCACCAGATTCCCAGCATAGACGAGCATTGGCGTTGGGAGACATTAACCACAGAAGAATCCTATTTTGCTTTCTTACAGTTCCTTCTTATGAAAAATAAGAAAGCTTGGGCCTTGAACATAGTTTCAGAAGAATTTTGAGTGGAGTTTCACTAGGGAACAACTGGCAGTATCCTAGAAGTTCATTGTAAGAGAATGTCAGCTGGAAGAGAAATAAACAGAAAGTGTGAATGGGAGGAGACATGGGAAAGAGCATCCTGAAAAACATTATTTCTGGAGCTCTTACAAGTACATAGGAACACAGTTTTGCTTTGTTATCACTTGTCTCTGCCTAAGGTTGGGTTCTTGATGATTTAGAAGGGGAGCTGCATCCCCATGTAGTCCTGTCTTCCAAGGAGGGCCTGAAAAAACAGGTAGCAGCCCTCATCTCCTCAACAGCCACAGTTTGTGGTTCAACATGTTTAACTTGAGTTGGATGCACTTGACATTAGTATGCTGCACTGGAAGTTAGTAAATAAGTCATCAGCTCCTTCTGTAGCTCTTGCCCTGGCCTTGAGTTCAGCGAAAGAGGCAGGATAGATCCTTGGAGGAATTAGCACTTTATTCCACTAGAGCAAACACTGCAGCCCTTAAAGAAACAGCAAGTCATGGTTTTGAAAGGAGGCATCTGAGCTAGAGATCAGTTCCTCAGGACATTCTTATATAGCAGTTCACTTGTGCTTACATTGCAGGACTCTTCTTCAGATAATCCTGGAAAAGTTAGCCTTCCTTCATAACTTCCAGTGACTGAAGGCAGGAAGGAGAAGCTTTCAATAGAAAATAAATGGCTGGCCAGTACCATGAGGGTATCTTGAGAAGCTAGACTTAGAGCTGTTGACTTTCTAATGGCCAAACCATAGACTGAAGAAGTATGCTACTTCAGGTAGACTGGGATACTGGGAAAGAGCACCTGCCTGTCAAAGTTTCTGTCACGCAGTAGCCTCCAGTGCAGAAAATCTGGGGAAAGCTGCAGTCAGCCACAAAGAAAGGATCCTTCATCTTCACTGTCTGTAGAGAAGTGGAAGATTCTAGTACTTGGAAAACTTTCTGGAGCATTTAAAAATATTCACCCATTGAGTGTTAGTGCATGATTTTCCTTTGACAGGGAATTTGTTTGGAAGGTGGAGGGAGAGAAAAGTCTGCCTTGAGATATCGCCTTGATGTTAATATCCTTTGAAGCATTGAAAGGATATATTTTTGCTTTTCTTGTGCCATTCTCCATCATACTGAAGACTACCAATTAAAAAAAAAAATTAAAAAATCCTACCTTTACATATGCTGGATCTGCTAGTCTTGATTCACTCAGACTATGAAAGGAAGCAAGATCAAAGGCACAGTTTATAGCTGTCTTGTTAATCCCAGGAGTATTTTATCACATAAATTAGGAAGGGGGAGTGAAGGAAAATCCCTTTGCATTGCTTTGGGTTTTGACATTAAACACTCCTCAGTTGTTCTGCTAGCTAAAATCTGCTGTGCTATTGAAAAGTGATTAATGCATTCATGTCATGCAATTAACAGTGACCCATGAAAAAAACAGCTACAAAGAATGTATTTAATCCAGAAAAATGTATTAGGATAAAACCCAGAGCAAGCAAAATATACTGCTGTTGTTGTTGTTTTCACTGGCTTTATGGAAACATTTCTTGGTCATGGAAAATGCCTTATTGACAAGAGGATGGGTTTGTGTTTAATGCATGGAACCATAACCAGGATAACACGGGCTTAGTTACAGGTTTGTGCCAGAGCCATGCTGAAACACTGAGTAAGCATCAACATTGAAACACTGAGGAGGCAGGATTGCTGCCCCTATGCACTCCTTCCACAAGAGGTGGCTAGACTTTCCAGGTAGTGGAAGGGAGCGCCTTCTCTGTAGGCACGTTAACATTACTGAGAGCCTTCTCAAGGCTCTTAATTCATTTGGGCTTCCTCAATAATGCTGTTGAGTTTGGTAGCATGTGCTTCCTTTTACCACAGATTGGGTATTAAAGACTTCCATAGAAACCTTAAAAGAGAAAGCCTGTTCTCTTCTCTATAAAGCATGTATGACTCAGCTGTAAAAATGTCTTTCTTACTCACTGTACTACAGTTAAGATACAGCATATTAGTAAAGCTGCTCTGAAGCTTAGAGTGCCTCTCACAAGATGGAAGTTTCAAGCTCTTTTTTGTACTCTTAAATGCACTTCCTAGAGGATGCCTGTGTATATGCAAGCACAAGAGGAATAGTACTTCCAGAGAGTAAACATGAGACAGTGGTAATGCAAAGATGTCAGGTGCATCTGAATGGCTTTTTTTCTTTCTTTCTTTCCTATCCAATATACATAGGTTTTGCTACACACTTTTCTTCCCACTCAGGTGCCACTATAGCTTTTTTCAAAAAAGACATTATTTAGCGTGTGTTTTTTGTAGCTTTGAGGGGCATGTAGTTACTGGTATTTATACAGCTGGCTTTCATTTGAAGGAGCGCTCAGGGTATCTCCCATTCATTAGTTTGAGGGTGTATAGTGATCTGTTCAGTCCATATGTCCACTTGTAGGCGTGTCCTGTCTCATCAGCGTGCAGAGTGAACAACTACTGGGAAAAGGAGAGAAAGTTGCCAAGTTGGCTTACTTTTGAGTGCATTTGTAGAGGAGCTCATGGTTTGCCTCCTACCTGGCGGCAGCAAGGATGGGTTAGTCAGTAAAATTAACATCCCAAACCACAGTGGAGACGTCGTCCAGTTGGCCATACCAGTGCTACTACTTTTTTCTTCTTACTATCATTCAGCTGTTTTGGGATCAGTCTTAATTACAGTGTAGCTTTGTGTTAAATTGCAGCATCAGGATTCAGTAACAAAACTGTAAGACAACCTGAGGATCACCCTTAATGTCCCGCTTCCCTTTCTGCACACGCATCCTGCACAGGACTGCATTCTCCTTGGCATCACACTGCTTGCAGTGTTTGTGAGACAGGGCAGGAGAAAGGCCACTGTGCTGAGCAGCAGCCAGGACTGTCTCCATGGGGAGCCCTACACCTGAAAGGGTGTCTTATGTCTCAGCACCAGCCTGATTTGTTCCTTTTCATCTCTCGTGGTCCTGTTGTCTATGAATGGCTTGTATTCCTTCTTCCTCTATCTCTCTCCCCCACCATGATGAATGTCTGCTGTTCTGATATGTGGAGGCTCACGTGTCTGTGTCTACATCAATACACTCCAGAGTGCCTGAGAATGTTCCTGAGCACTGGGACACTGTCATCTGCCCTGTTAATAAACTCTTAGCCTCTTCCCTGATGTGCACTCAGCCCGTACCAGACTGCCAGTTGGAAATCCCCCAAAGAACTCTCAGGCATGGCTGGGGGATTAGAAACTTCCAAAGACACACACACTTTTCCACAGGATTCCATTTGCCTGCAGCTGTCCGGTTTTGAAGGCTGATAGACATTACTAGCACAGGCCACACACTGTGTGCCAGATGCCTTCGATGGCTAGCAACATTTCTGAGCACAGTTAGTTTGCTAGCCTGGACTCATATCAGAACTTAGGTGAGCTTGGAAGTGTATGACCAATCTCATACATGCTATGTAAGACTCTGTTTCAGGAAGAGGAGGGCATCAAGCCTTCGAAAAAAATCATCCCTGTTCCAGCCCTGTTCCCTAAATCTGTACAAACTACTGTAACTAGCATCCAAGCCAGTACCTGTCCCACCCCTGAAAACAGGGGCAAACTAGTGTAACTCCACTCATTCTCAGTGCTGCAGAATGAACTGGTGTTTTTTTCCCTTTGCAGTTCGAACATGTCCCAAACTTCGGGCTCCTGAAAATGGACACATTAATTGTTCAACAGCTGATATCGCCTATAAGACAGTATGTTTTGTCACCTGCAATGAGGGCTATGAAATAGAAGGAAACACCAAACTCACCTGCCAGGGAACGTCACAGTGGGATTCAAAGGAGCCCAAGTGTGTGGGTAGGTATCTGGTCACACCCTGTTTATGTCAGAGTGCAGCCTTTTCTGACATGCTGTCACGAGTGAGAAACTCTCCCTATTTTAATATCTGGTGAAGCTAAGACAGGAATGAGGATTTGTCTATAGATGTTTTATACAGGTTTTAGAAGTGGCGAGGGACAAAGGAATTTGTAAATGGAGAAAGTGGACAGATTATCATTGAAATCCAGCACAGACAGCTGATAACTAAAAGGCTGTTGCATCTGGTGAGTGTTAAGATACTGTCACACAACGCATTGTAGGAAGCATGCAAGTTTTACGTCTGTACTATGGATGAAATGTGAACAACCAAGGGTTTGAGTCACCATCTTAAAGCTGAAGATGGCCTCCAGACAAGGACTAAGGCGTGTTAGCCAGGCACTGTGACTGCCAAGTAGAGATGTGGCAGTTGTCACTTTTGCTGAACTCCCAGCAGGAAATAAGAGTTTAGGGAAGTTAGGGACCAAGCACCTTGAAGGCAGGATTCAGAGGTCACACCAGCTCTGCAGGGATAGGTAAGCATATATTGCTGTTCCAGAAACAAAAAACTGTCGATTTCAGAAGCACCCATTTAGGACAGGTATTAAATTAACTTAGAAACTGATAAGAGGGAGAAATACGGTTGAAACACTTCCAAGGGTAGACTGCAAAAAAAAAGCCCAAGCTTAAAGTCCAGCAATTCAGAAGGTGATCCAGTGCTGACTAAAGTCAGGATGAAGTACAGTCAACTGCGTCTAGTAAATGTGATGCCAGTAGGGTGACTTGGCTTGAACCTGAGGCTGTTTTTTACTGTTTTACTGCAGGCTTAAAAATGTGGACTTTGCATGAGACAAGAATAAATTTCTAACTGTAGATATGTTCTCTGAAATTATGAAAATAATCCACAAGTATTAATTTATCAAGAGAGTTTGTTAAGAGATCCTAATCTTTCTTCTGTTGAAGTCAGTGGAAAAACTTCAATTAACTTCAAAAGGAAGGGACCCTGAAATCCTGTTGGAAGATTATAATTGGAAGATTAACTGTATTCATCAGTTGAATTCATCCTTCCTAGCTTAGCATTTTGATTATTAAAATCCAGCTCTACTCGGTATCAGAAGATTTTTTCACACCATGCAATACTGCCTCCATTCCTGGATTACACATGACAATAGCTTATTGGGTTGCTGAGTCTGAAAATCTAGTATAAAAGTTACCTGTGATTGTCATGGAGGGAAAAGTGTTAGCTGGAAAACGGCTCTGCTGCTTTTTGTTGTGACTGGTGTTTAGAACAAGCTTGCTGAGATTCTTGTTCAATATAGATGTGTGGAGTTTTATTCAGGTAAGGATGAAAATCAGAAGACCAGTATCACGTCCTCCTCAAAAACTACCCTTTGTACTCATTTTCTGAATGTTTATCATTATCATGGAGGTATTCTCCATTTATTTTTAGTCTGAACAGTTCCTAACTATTATATATCATCTGCTACATAAAAGATACCAGAAATCCTGCTGTATTTAGGCATTTGTAATTGATGCTTTATTCATTTCGTACCCTTCTGTTAGAAAAATGAAGTGGAATTGGGTTTAGTCTCTTACCTTGAGACAGATTTCTTGGACCTCGGGGTACTCTCCTAGCTCTTTTTCTGAATGCTTTTCAGTTTGAGTTGCACATCAGTGCAGAGTTTACCATATTTAAAAGTTAGCTCACTGATCCTGTACTACAACCATCTGTAACCATAACTGACACTGTACCATATCATAGGCTGGATTGTTTACAGTCACTTCTGTGAGGTCTGTTATCATATACATCTTTTTCTAAGAGACTGGAAGTTAATGCAAGTTTGGCTATTACATATGTTTTAAATTTTTGTATTTTTCATGAAAGATGCTGTTAGCAGTGAGTTACTTTTGAGCAGGTTACGTATAGATGGCTTACAAACAAAATATCTACTGAAAAGGGAAGCTTTGTCATTTGTCCAGTTTGAAAAAAAAATTTCCACAGGCATGTTCTTGTGTTTCCTTCACCATTGGCAAAAGATTAATAGTCAACATGTTAAAATTAGTGAATTTTGCAAGATACTGTTCTCCTTGCTTTGTTCAAGGTTTAGTGAAGAAAGATAAAAATACAGATGGCATCCAGGGTGTTGATGCCACCTAGTGTTGAAAGAGTTACAGCTCCACATTTCTGATTGCAGTTGGCCAGTTCTTTCCCTGAAACATTGGGTTTGCAAAGGTGTTGAAGGAAAGAGGCATGATTTACTTGATAATCTTCTTTTGTTACAATATTGAAGTTCCTCTTGATGTTAAGAATTGCAATACAGTGTTGTGGTTCATCACAGGCAGTTGCAGATGAAAGCAGATTCTTGTCTCTCCTTAGAGGTACCTTTTTCCTCTCTCTCTATTAATTCCCTATCCATATGACTAATAGCATGGATATCACTTTGCTCCTCATGAAGTCCAGACTTCCTGGGTCAGCTTGATCAAATTCTGGAGTTGAGCACAGATAAAAATGCTAAACAACACTATTAGAGGTTTTTTTTCTGCTAAAACCTGTCCCACTTAGAAGAGATTCCCTCAGGCTAGATATATCAAAGGTTATCCTGAATGTTCGTCAGATGTTTCAGGATTGTGCTCTACTAGGGTTTTGCTAGTATAGTTGGAAGTGTCTCAACCAGGAGGTCTGTTACTGCTTCCCGAAGAGGTGCAGTTTTCTCTGGTTTTCATCCTTACACCTTTCACAGCCTTTCTTCTAATTGTTCCCTGAGTAGTATGCATTTTAATGCTTTAACTTGTCTTTTCAAACATTGGTTTTCCAATTTCTGATCTTTCTGCTGTTTGTCAGTTACCTTCCTGTGGTGAGCAACCGAAAGTTGGGTTTGAGGGTTTTTTTCTGATCGAGTTGTTTTACATTCCGTAGCCAACAGTGTCTGCCTGAAGTGAACAAACGTGTTAACATTTGTGATCTTGGCATCCTGTTGAAATGAAGTGCAGTTATTAATCGCTTGGACTTTAAACACCATTTCAGTATTGAGTGTTTAAAGGGCAGGAAATACTTAGAATGCTTAGACTCTTTAAATTTTGCTTTATGCAGAAGAACCAGTTTTCAATTACTTGCTGCATATTTTGGGAGAGGACAAGAAAGGGATGTGAAGCATTCTGACTGTGAATCATTTCTGTGTCATTAAACCATTGCTAAGAAATGACCAGAGCTTTCCCTTCTGTAGCTGGGTTGGGTTGTTCTTTGTGTGCCCTTTGTGTAAAAACCTGTCTGCTTTCTTCACTGACTAGCTAAGGAGTTACAAGTCTTCTCATTGGCTATAAATAACGAAGCATTTTTCTTGTGTGTTTGTCTGTCATCTGTTGTAAGAAACACTACTGAAAGTCTGTGAACTGCATTCATGGGATACCCCTTTTTGACCTGTTTGTAAATACCTCCACATTTGAAGTAAAAATAACATTCCTGGGCTCACATGGTAAAAACAACAGCTCAAAAATGAAACAAAGCGTTTGTGACGATTGAACCTGTTTATGCACATTGTGGTTTTTGGAAGTTTACACTTTGATGCAAATGGTCTTCAGAATTTGTAGTGAATTCTAGTAACAACATAGTTCAAAACTTTCATTTTAAGTCTTTAAGCAACCTGACTTTACAGGGAAGGTCAGCTGCCGCTTACATTCACCCTGAGTCTTTGCATCTGGGTTTGAACAGTCAAGACCAAGCCCCATTTCATTCAGTTTGGAACGCAGTCGGCAAAATCACATGCCATGTCGCTAACCTACAGTGAGCTCGTGGCAAGGTGTCCTTCTTCTTCTCTCATTCTTATTTCAAGAGACAGTGTTAAAGCCGTAGAAGGCACAGATACAAGACTATTGCCTCTCTCATGCTACAAAGGTCTGGTTTCCATAGAAGGCAAGGGAATGCAACTACAAAGCAACCCCAAAAGGTGAAGCTGTAAAGAAAAAAAAAAACAACAAAACAAAACAGAGAGAAAGACATAGTGAAGCCGCATGAAAAATACTGTGTTTCTCTTCCAGCGAAAAGCATGAGCAAGATGATAGAAGAACTGATATCCTGAGTGCTTTTTACTTCAGTCAGCACTGGAGTACAAAGCTTCAGCTGGTCTTGCGGTTTTGATGCACTCATAGCTCATGCAAACTCTTTAAAAGTCTGTGTGTTTTGTGTTCCCTCTGAGTTGCCATATGACTTTATTTGCAGATTTTTTTGTATGTATACTTCGTGTATGCCAGTTAAAAGACATGTGCTACTGGTCTCTTGTAGAAATGCGTTGCCCCATCCTCCAGATGCCAGCAGGTGTAACAGTTCTCCCTCCCAGATGTGGGCTGGAGCCTGCCACTTCTGGGACTGTGTGCCAGCTGAGCTGTCCCCAAGGATTCATCTTGTCTGGAGCCAGAGAAGAACTAAGGTGCATTTCATTTGGGAGATGGAGTGCAAACATCCAGGAGGCTCTGTGTAAAGGTAGAGACCAGCACAAAATTATTTCTGTGTACACATGTGTGCAGGATTGAAGGGAAGCACACAGCAAATAACTGAGTAAGAACAGGTTTGAACTGGGGAAAGCATGATTTAAACAGTCTGTAAAAAGTGTTGCCTGTACCATTATAACTTGAGTGTCAGATTTACTTGTAGTTTGTAATAAAAATGTAGAGTTCAGAGGTTGCTTGAGTGCCATCTTGCAGCACTCATCAACTGTCTCTCCTGGGATCCATCTCGTAAGTCTGGAAGCTGCCTGCTAAAAGGCCTGATGTGCAGGTAAATTTGAAATTTCAAAGTAGAAGTGAAAGATCTTAGCTTAAAGATAGTCAAAGTGGAACCCACACTTCTAGTAAAACAACAACGATAATAATATTATTACTGGTTTAGCACAGGTTTATGTAAGCCCTGTAGTCGAAGCAAATCTGTAAATGCTGTGTAAACCCTGGCTGATAGACAGGCTATAGAGGGATGGTTCTTTTCAGTTGTCTTTGAACTGACTATGGCTGTTGACATTTCCTGAGCAACAGTGCGCAAGAGTTAAGGCCAAAACTGGCTGACACAAGTGCACAGAGTACAAAGATGGGCAGAAGATGGTTACGTGCATTTCAGTATGGTTCTGCCATGTTTACCCACCTCTTCTAGAAACGTTAGGTTTCCACACTGAGTTGGAAGGCATTTAGCTTTGGATTGTAGGAGGATACAAGCAAAAGTGCAGTTTGTCTGGGAATATGCAATTCACCTCTTCGTGAACTATTGTGCTTCTAGAACTAATGCTTCCACCCCAAACTGGGGCCCTCACCAGCCACTGGGTGAAAGAACAGTACAGAAAACTGTTATGGCAGTCATCATGCCAGGTCACTGCAGAAACTGAGGTGGGAACTTTTTTCTCTGTAATGGCCAGGAAGATTTTATCCCTCCCTTTAAACATATTATTTCCCACTCTGTGATGTACCACATTGTTTTTCTGAATCTTTCGTGTAAACCTGTGCCAAACCACAGTTTTTAATATTTGATGGGATCCCAGCACAAGGCTACAAGCTGAAGTGTTTGGATCAAGATAAAGCAGCATGGCTTGGGTTCAAGCTTTTAGATATTACCAGTGCATAAAACCCTAAAATAAGAGGCACCAAGAAACTCTGAAGGTTATTCCTCTCTAGTAAAAATGAACAGTTGCTTTTCAATTGCTTTCATTCTTGTTATTGTCACTCTCTATTTTGCTGCCAACAAATTTGGCCAGTTCAAAATAGCCATTTTCTTTCTGACTTATTTATTAGTCTTTTTACAGAATTTCACTTTTAAATGGAATTTGCCCCAGCCTGAAGGCTGTGGTCAGGGGAGTATGAACCATAACTGGTAGTTATTTAAAAGAGTGCATTTCTAATAAAATTTTCATCAGAATGAGTTCAGAGGAAGGCAAAATCACTTGTATTTATTGCTTTGCACTCTTAATTACAGAGGTTTAATTGCCTGAGTTGTGTTTTTACTGGAACTATTTAGTAATGAAAATATAAGTGATATCAGTTCTGAGTTGTTTTAAAGCCTCCTGGGCATAGATGAGTTCAAAGCTGAATGCATCTTTGTCTCATCAGTCTAGAGACCATTTATCAAACAACACTACAGCAATAAAATAATCTGACCACAAATGTTTTGGAAGGCCCTGTGCCAGGGAAATGAAGAAGTACTTTAAGTTTGTCAGAGAAACTCGAGGCTTAAATGTTAGTGGTGATGTTACCCATATTGTACCACCAGTCCTTTGAAACCATCCAGCATTGTCACATATGTCACAAGAAGACTCCATTTGTCCTACATAATACCTTGTAGCAGGAGTTTATTAAGGAATATTTCCAGCAACTGATTTCTTTGGAGTCGGTTCCACATTATGCTCTAGGGAATTTGAAAGTCACTACTGTCTTGTTTGTAGTATCTATATCATGTCACAGATGATACTTTTTTTTTTTTTTTTAAAACATTAAAAGAAAACAAATCATCCTTCATAGAATCATAGAATGCTTTGGGATGGAAGGGACGAGAAGCCATTCCTTCTTAATGAGTATGTGTGTAATGAATGGATGAATAATAAGAGAAACAAATTCATTCTGTCTTATTTATTCCTTGTTTTATGGTTGTGTGTAGAAACCAGAGTCTCATTGTGCTCAGTGATGTACAAAAATACAGGAAAAAATAGTCGAATTTACCCCAGGCGAATTTACTGTTTATGTATGAGCCTGTAGGCAAGAATTAAAAAGGGGGGCAAAAAGGGGGAGAGACAGGAAGTTTGCAAAAATATGTGCATTTATATTCCAGGCAGCACAAAACCCAGTGGTTATAACAAGTTGCAGCTTACCATTATAGAGGTTTTATTTCTATAACCCCACATATAAAACTAGTTTGTCTCTTTCTGGATCAGATATTGAAGCTCCTCGGATCCACTGTCCAGACAATATTGAGACTGAGACTCTGGAACATCATAACTCTGCTAATATCAGCTGGCAGGTACCAACAGCTGAGGATAACTCTGGAGATGAGGCAAGTTAAAATCTGTACATTTGACTGGAGGCAGTCTTTCTATAGCTAGCTATTTCAAATTAATTTTATGATCCAGTAGAATTTCTTTCTTCTGATAAGCAGGAGTAGAAGAAAAATCTGCTGAAAAGTTTCTGTCTTGAGAATTCAGCATTTTCTGTCTTGGTTAGTTAGGGTTATGCAGTCGCAGGACACTCTGCATGGTGTTTAAGTGCATAAAATCTCATATGGTTAATTTATGTGGTCAAAGGAAAGAATGTGCCCTTGTTTATAAGATGGAGACAGCTGCTTTAAAAATGAGCTTTTAGAATGTGAAGAAGTTTAATAAACTCTTAGAAGGAAGTAAACCAGTTCATTAATCTAAAAGGCTAACATGAACACACTGTGATAAGTAAAAACTCATTTCAGCTTCCCAAGTGAGAAAGAAAAATCTCATTTTCCTATCCAATGCAAGGTTCAGACATGGGCCTTTGGCTACTATGGGTATCGGAGGTCTGGAAACTGAGTTACAAGGAAAACTTGCTCCAGAGCTGTTTCATAAAGAGTGACATTCCCTACAGGCTCAGACATGATCAAGTTACAGCAACTGAATGTTTTCTCATGAGTCAGCAAAGGAATAGTGACTCTGTGTGCCTTTAATTTGCAGCAAACACAGGAGTTTTTTGCACTTGGAAACTGTGAGCTATCCCAGTAAAAGAGGTTTAAGTTGACAGATTTTTTGCTGTAGCGTAGCTGTGGTCAGGTACTGTAGCTCTGCTGGCACAAGGTCATTCATTGAACTGTAGAAACCAAGTGCCTTAGCTCTTAGTTGTAGCTGGTTTGTCAAAGCCGCGGTTGTCAGATGAACTGCTTTGTTCACATGAAACCAGTTCTTTCAAAGAGAAGTTCTTTAAGACAGTTCTAAACCATATGAAAGAGCCTTAGACAGCATGTCAGTGTCATTTACTCCAAATGTAGGGTTCCTTTGCTGTGCCAGAATGTTTTGAAGCATCTGTGGGCTATTGACTCATAAACATATGTAGATTAAAGCTGGATATGTAAGTACTTATAGCCCACAACTGTCTGCTCCATTCATCTCCCAGGTCTGCTGCCCTTGCAGCTGGAGACCTGAACTGCAGACAAAGCAGGTTCTGAACTGGCATGGTGTGTGTTCAGTGCAATGAGGCAAACAAGAGTCAGTCTTGAGTTTTCTTCATGCACAGTGCTGTAAACTGCAGCAGGTCAGAGTCCAAGTCCTGACTGAGTAAATCCCGGTTGCTATAAAGAAGGCAGTCTTGAGAAGGGCAGCAGAGCACTCTGTTGTGAAGTCCGCCCTCGTTACTTGAAGAGGCTATTTGCATTAAGAAAGAGTAGGCTTGACATTGAAAGATACTATTTTGTGGCCATTTCTTGAAACATGAGTGTCGTGATTACTAACCAGCTTTGTTTTTTAAATAACAAGTGTTCTCCTATAAAAGGTCTCAGTTCACGTTACCCCAGCTTTCATACCACCGTTTCTTCTCCCAATTGGTGAAATTGCCATTACTTATACAGCGGCTGATAAGTCGGGCAATGAGGCAAGCTGTACATTCAGCGTGAAGGTTATTGGTAAGTGCTGGTAAAAATCACTGGGGAAGAGTCTGTCATGGTTGAAACCTTCTGATTTTGTGCAGAAAGACTGTGAGTCACTGTGGCCTTTATGTGTGCAGGTATAAGCCCAGGAGTAATATCATCTCCATAAATGCTTTGCTGATCTTGGGTCACAATTTGCATAGTGTGCAGTCATTGCTCCCAGATGTTCAGTTGGGGTTGTATTTTGTTCTGTTGTTCATTCTGAATATGAAGATTTCTCCTCACACTGGTAGATTAAACGCTTTACTGTGTTGTCACTTTACTGCCTTCAGTGTATATATGGGGTTTTTTTCTTCTTGAAAGACTCCAACAAAATTTCCAAGGTTCCCACACACTGCTGATGCAAATCATTGTTCAAGTATTTCTGTCAGACAATTGTGTTACTCATCAGTCCTGTTAAACAAGGTTTGCTTTGTAGAAAGCAAACAGAATGCAGAAACCATGAGTTCAGCGGAAGAATTAGTCTTGTCCATTCCTTCAGCATCTACCAGTTGCAGCAGCTTACAAGTGTGCATCTAACTTTGTTGTATCTTCTGATGTGAACTTAAAACTGCTGTTTACTTGACTTCTTCTGATTATAGATTTCATTTGAGTGTGGAGGCAGTTCAGTAAGCTAATGTCATTCCATCCCTTCAAATTTTGCAGATGCAGAACCTCCTGTAATTGACAGATGCAGATCTCCGCCACCCATGCAAGCACTGGAGAATGAGCACCCAGCAACATGGGAAGAGCCACAATTTTCAGACAACTCAGGTGAGACAGTGCACCCCAAAACATGCACACAACAGTGAAAGGCTAGGGAACTCCAACCTGTTCACCCTTGATCCCTTGGAGTTTGGGGAGTTCAGAGGGTTTATTTATTTATTTATTTTTAAAAACACATAATTTGGAGGACGTGCTGCCATTTCCTTCTCCATTTGTCAAGGTTGGGTGTGAGCAATCCTCTTTTACTTATCGATGTTTTAGGTTGTCTTTTAACTCTTCTAGGTGCTCCACTGACTGTCATGAGGAGTCACGTACCTGGAGATCTCTTTCCCAAAGGAGAGACAACAGTTCAATACACAGCCGTGGATCCCTCTGGCAATAACAGGACATGTGAGATCCACATTGTCGTCAAAGGTTTGTTGTCTTAATCTTCTCGTCAGGAGTGTATGGCAGTGTTTTAACTGAATATGATAAAGGATGCAATGCTACTCCACTTTTTCATTTAGTCTCCACTTTTTCTTTTAGTTATTCCCTATTTATATTCGAGTAACTTGAAGACAGTCAGGATATTTGTTAGTACCAACAAATCAATTGTCTAAGACTGAAGGAACACAGCATTGAATTTGGTCCTATAAATTCAAATTAGGTGTAAAAGCACTGAAATTATGATTCATTAAGCAGTAAAACTTACGGTAATGGATCAATTTTTTCCTCAGTGACAGATAGCATGTGAAATGAATTAATAGGTGTTACTGAAGTCTTACTTCAGATCTATAGTTAAAAAGGAAAACTTCATGGAAATATTTCTGTAATCACCTACAAACATTGTAGCAGACACGAGAACACTCTTTAGATTGTAGCTGTCTGTACCTATAGAAATACTGGTGCATTTATGTTTATTGCATAGAGACCTTTTCTCCACAGTTCACTTTTTTCTTTAAAAGCCAAACAATAGTTTGGCAGGTAAAGTATTACGGATGAAAATTCTACGTTATCTCTGCTCTCTAGTTCTTATGTCTCAGTTGGACATCTGTATAAAAAAATCTGTTAGTGAAGAGAGAATTTAAAATCACACGGACTGGAATTTTGGTTATAGCTTTTAGAAAAGGTAAGTTGCAAATGGATGTGCTAATTTCTGATTTGCTGTAAATTGTAGCAAGAACAAGCCAGTGCTTAGAATTGGCATTATTTCAAGTTCTAGACCACCTCAGACTTCTTCTGGTTTGTGACACAGTGTTTTCAGACAATCACAATCGTCTTCAGAATTGGCCTGTAAAATAAATCATAACAGAGGTTTTACAGTCAATCCCTCCTAAGATGATTCTGACAAGTCCATGTGTTGTTGCAATAGTGCACAATGGATAATGTTTAGTTTCAGAATTCAAGATGTAATATAGTTTACTAGAATTAATTGTGTGAATGTTCCTGTAAAAATTTAGATTAATGTTTTGTATTATTTTAGTAAGTACATGCTTGAGCACGCATCTTTGCAGAAGTACAGAAGTGTTTGGGTCTCGCATTTTTTTAAGTCAAATTTTTTTTGTGTTTTTTGTCTCACAAATTTTTTTAAGTCTTCACCTTTCTGGATTTCAAATTCCAGTGGCAGAGTTTGAGAATAATTTTGCAGTAGCCTGACCCTGCTTTTATGGAAGTAACAAATAATACTTCCACAGACTTCAACAGAGGCAAGATCAGGTTGATACTATGTACTTTTGGAAATCATATTAGTGCTGTTTTCTTGTGTGCTTACTTACTTTGCCACATCCATCAATATATAAATCTTTGTATTTTTCGTAGGTTCTCCTTGTGAAATCTCCTTTGAGCCTGTGAATGGTGATTTTACATGCACATCAGATGAAGCAGGAGTTAATTGCACATTGCACTGTGCAGAGGGTTATAGCTTTTCAGAAGGATCAAGTGAAAACTATTATTGTGCATATGAGGATGGTGTCTGGAAGCCGCCTTATTCTCCAGAGTGGCCTGGCTGCTCTTGTAAGTCTTATTGTTGCTAAAATGAATCTGTAACTCATCAAACACTATGTTTAATGAGGAAGTAAATGAAAATATTTTAGAAATTATGGCTTTTTTTTAATGATAACAAAGCTTCTCTGTCCTCTGCCTCCAAATTGTTACAAATATTGTGAAAGAATGCCTGGAAGTCCCTAAATGTGTTATTTCAGAAGCTGTCTAAAACACAAAAATAGGAATGAATTTGAATCCTGGGACTCACAAAATAGCAAAGATGGCAAAGTAGACAACGTCTGTCATTATTTTGAATTGGTATTTGAAACAGTTTGTTTACAAACACTAAAAGTGTCTTTTCAATAGGTATTTCAACAGTATTGCAAACTTAATGATCCAAATGCACAGTGCATGCTGTACATACATATCTAAAGATGACCAAATCAGAAGTGTTTATGTATTTTCTTTGAGATGAACACATGCAAAACTTCAGCTGTGGAATTACCCAGCTTTGGTGACATTTTAATAATAAATGTATTAGAGCTACATATGAAGCCAGTCTTGGCACCATGTTGCATCCACTTCCATCAGAGTGGATTTCTTGGTTTCAGCAAATGAGAGCAGTGTTTCAGCTATGAGCAAATGAGAGTTATGTTTCAGAGCTATCTATCAATTCCAAATTTGTAACTTGGACACTTAGGAACTTTGATTTGCTTAAATTCTGGATGAGAATTTTTCAGATTCAGCCTAGCAGCATTAGAAATTGAGAAAATGCTGAAATAAATAGATAAATGACAGACCTTTTTTTAATGTCTGTTAGCTTTCTCAATAAATTTGATGCCTGCCAAAGGGTCTGTTGTGGTTTAATCCCAGCCAGCAACTAAGCGTCACCCAGCCGCTCGCTCTCTCCCCGCTGTGGGATGGGGGAAAGAATCAGAAGAGTAAAAGTGAGAAAACTCGTGGGTTGAGTTTAATAGGTAAAGCAAAAGCCACGCACGCAAGCAAAGCAAAACAAAACAAGGAATTCGTTCACTACTTCCCATCAGCAGGCAGGTGTTCAGCCATCCCCAGGAAAGCAGGGTCCATCACCCATAACGGTTACTTGGAAAGACAAATGCCATCACACCAAACGTCCCCCCCTTCCTTTTTCTTCCCCCTTATATGCTGAGCATGACATCATATGGTATGGGATATCACTTTGGTCAGTTGGGGTCAGCTGTCCCAGCTGTGTCCCCTCCCAGCTTCTTGTGCACCCCCAGCCTCCTCACTGGTGGGGTGAGAAGCAGAAAAGTCCTTGACTCTGTGTAAGCACTGCTCAGCAGTAACTAAAACATCTCTGTGTTATCAACACTTCAGTGCTCTGTGTTATCAAACATTTGTGTTTTCAGCACAAATCCAAAACATAGCCTCATACTAGCTACTAAGAAGAAAATTCTACCCCAGCCAAAACCAGCACAGGGTCATATTCAACTGCATTGGCTGAGGTACGAGTGATCCATTTTCATGTATACAACAGTGGGAATTTAGGTTGCTGATTTAAAGACAATGCTTCTTAGCTTAGTGTATTCCAGTTTTAGCCTGAATGATGTTGCTTTTAGCTCTGAAACTCTTCCACTGACCAGTAAAAATTTATGTCTCCAACATTTTTCAGTAAATCGTTTTGCAAACCATGGGTTCAAATCCTTTGAGATGCTCTACAAAGCAACACGATGTGATGACAACAATCTTCTAAATAGCTTTACTGATGCATTCCAGAGTGCGCTTGGTAAAATGGTAGGTTAGTAAATATTCCTTCCTTTTACATACTTTTAAAAAAATGTACCTCGTTGTTACTTTTCCCAGCTAACTAATTTCTTACAAAGAAAATACAATAAAAACCTATAAATGAAATTTGTGCTTTTTCAGAAGATGACAATTTTCCTTTAAAAGATGATTCACTGGCATTTTAATGTAATTAAGTTCAGTCTCCAATGTGGAGGTATATAGGACAGAATTTATAGAAGTGCCCAAGCAGCTTAGGGACGTGGCACTCACAGGCTTTCAGTACGGTTCCAGAGAGAGCCTGTGCAGTTTTGAAAACCCCAATCAATTGTCCCCTAACCTCAGTGTTGTTTTTGAAAGCTGGATGTGATTATAAAATACATGTATTTGATATAGAATATGTGTAACATATATCCATATAATATAAATGAATATACATGTATGCAAATAGATAAATTCCACATTTGGTGCCTAAGTCCAGGCACTTAAACCCAGTAGTAGTGATTTAAATAATTTGGTCAGGTTTCTTGAGTTTCTGAGTTCTCACTCTTGTCATTAAGAACTGCATGGCACTCAGTTTGAAGGGGTAGCATGTTCCTTCTTTACCATGTCTCTTGCTTTCCACTTCAGTATCACAATCTCCTCCATGAGTCTGTCCTTAGCTGCACAGCAGAAGCAGCAGGACTTCAAGTTGCAGTGTCAGGAGTGGACACACTAGTCCACTAGTCCAGGCCTAATGTGGTAGTATTGCACCAGAAGAGAACACCGGGCATTTACAGATTTTTTGCAGAACAAAGCCCATAAAAGCTAAAAGCTTCTCTGCTAACTAAAAAGCTTTATTAGCACCTACAGCTACTGGACAAACTGCTGCAACTTTGTAATGTATGTCAGTAACCCTTGTCAAATGGCTGAAAACCTAGATAACACTTCAGGCAATCTCTGACACTTGGACCTAAATATCCATTACTCTCTTGCCTTGCTTCAGGTTTGTTCTCTTCCAGTAGAGAAATCTTGGCTGGTTTTATTTCTGTTCCTTTCCCCTAAGAGCCAGCTACCACCAGGTTACCAGGTTACCAGGCTTAGACCGTTACTATCAGCACGCAAAAGATATTAAGGAAAAAATGCTTAGTGACCTGCCCAAGCAATTACATCAAAATGCAACAATCTGGGAAAACAGTCAAAAAGGCTGTTTTGAATATGCCTATTCCTATTGCCAGGAATTTGAAATTCTAGCAGAGATCTGAAAAGGGGGGAGGAATCAGCAGGAGCCATCTTTCCAATGAAAATTGATGTGGAAAAAGCAAAGTAATTCCAAAACACAACCTAGAGCCCAACTTGCTTGAAACCTTTCTGGAAAAAGCAAGAAATACATATTTTATCAAAAATCATGCATTCATCTATTCTCACTTAATCTCCACTGCTTTGTGGAGAGAAAAAATCAACAATACCAGAAAGGTTTCTGTCAAGTTCTCTGTTGTGTGGTTTCTGTCCTTCTCAGATGATTTTCCCTGTCCTCTGAGGTCTCTTGGTGGAATGCAGGAGTCCCTTTCCATGTGGAGGTAGAGGTGGATATGAAGAAATAAGGTTTGAAAGCTAGAAACAAAGTGACAGCATTGTTGTAAACCTGGCAGAATTTCAAGTTACACGGCTGGAAAAACCACAGATGTTTTCAAGCGTGTGAGCTCTCCTGTCATCTTCAGGGAGAAACAAGCCTTGTTCCTGTATTTTGGGATTTCACATGCAAGGGTGGTTAACTGAATGAACATCTTCTCTTATAAAAAACATCTTCTATAACAAAGAGCTTGTATGCCTATAAGATGCCCTCTTATTTCCCAGCTCTATCAATAGAACATACGTCTTTCAGCAGACCGTACAAGGGTTATAAGAGACATGAAACGGGAAATCTAGTGTCACTGGCAGGACCAGTGCTTTACATTGTAACTAGAAGTTTTTCTAAGTTGGGGGAGGGGCCTGTGTGGTTTTATTTTTTAATGTTATTCTTCTTTATGTTGGAAGGTCCCATCATTCTGTAATGATGTTGATGACATTGACTGCAGATTGGAAGATCAGACACAGAAACATTGTTTGGAATATAATTACGATTACGAAAATGGATTTGCCATTGGTAATTATTGATTGCATAGATTGTTAGCCATCCAGGTTTAACATGGCATAATTTCTTCGTTCTGAAGTATGCAATGTGTTGTGTGAGATATTTTTAATTCTTTTTATAGAGCTCTTAACATAGTAAGCAGTTACATAATAGGTTTTGTAACAATACTATGGAACCGTTTGCCATCTGGTTTTGATGCTGCTTCCTATATAGTGTAGAGGAAAAGTTTACTGAGATGCCTCATGATGGGGAGGGGAAAAAAGGCACACACGCACAGAGTCCTACAAACCTGATTGGTTAGCCTGGAAGGAAGCAACTTTTTTAAAACATGCAGTTTCAAACCAAAATACTGAAAAAGTACAGTAGATAGTTCTGGAGATGGTTAAGAAAATGAGGAGCATCCTTGATGCTGGTTCAGATCAGCGCAGAACTCTCACAGTGTAAAGCTATACAAGCCTAAGTTTGCCTTTTAGCTGTGAAATGGTTTCCTGTATGCAAGGGCACAGTTTGCAGGATGACTGTAGCTATGTCAGAGTGAAAGCTGTGACAATCCTAGTGATTATTCCCACTTTGCTTTATGCCAAATAAGTTGTCATTTTCAGTCCATTTTCAAACCGGTTAGTGTCCGTGTTGTACTGCTGTTATCCTTGGCATTTCCGAGTCCCAGGGGGTGCTCAGACCAGAAAGGATAAAAACAGATAAATTACATTACCTATCTTAGCAGGAGGCGTTTTGGCAGATCAACATCAGAATATGTACTCTGTCATGAGACTGTGGCTCTTTTACAGGTTTATAGTGGCGTTACTTGGTAGAGCTTCCTGCTTATTCTCACCTTTTAGGCATGTCATCAGGGTAAGGATGAATACTGATGACAGCTGGAGCTAACTTGTAAAGGCACATGGAGGAAACAGTGTTGAGGACATGGGATGTAGGGTCCTGTTCTCTTCTGGTTCACGTCAACCTCTTCTCAGAATAACCTTGTTGCTGTTTTTCTGAGTTTCTCATGATTTTACACTGGGGAGGCAGGAGAGGAGAACTCTCCTCAGGTCATAAGAGACAGCACTTCAGAAAATTAGTTTTGGAATACTCACATGGTATTAACAGCAAAGTTCTGAAGGTTAACTAGTCCTAGTGTCTACTGTACATTAAGCATCATCTAGGTGACTGCTAACAGGTAATTGGCAGAATTTTTTTATATCTTCATGGTTTTAAGAAAAGAACTAGATCCATGAAGTAGACCATGCACCTCTAGATTTAAACAATTATTTCTGTACATAATCTACCTTTTCATAATGACTATTCACAATTGTTTAATTGTTTCTGGTTGAAAGCATGTTGTAGTTGAAGGACATCATACAGGGGGTGAATTTGATTCACTATGTGTAACAGGAAATGCCTGGGAAGAAACACATAAGGTAATGCTACCAGCCTTTTCTGAGAGGGCAGACGATGGTAGAACTATTCAGGAGTTGTGAGAAGAAGGTGCAATGGAGACATGCAGCATAGGCCGTGCTGTCTGTAATTGAGCAGGAAGAGGGAAAGCTGCTGGCACGTGAAGGTCCATGCAAGACAGCGGAAGAGAAAGAATTGCGACCTGTAACTTTTATAGTAGTATTTCTTTAAAGCTTTGGCTAGCTGTGCAAGATTCAGGATCACTAGGATACCGCTTAGGAGTGAGACTGGTTTTCCCTTTGGTCAAAATGCTGTTACAGTAGGCACTTGTGTGGAGGCAAAGCCAGCATGCATCATCTGGAGCTTCAAACAGACCTCGTTCTGTTGGGGGTGTATTTTAGAAATAAGTACAGGCACTTATTTTCCACATGATGTTGCTTCTCTTTTTGTTTGTTCTTAATGCCTCACAGGACCTGCTGGCTGGGGGGCAGCAAACCAGCTGGATTATTCCTATGATGATTTTGTTGATGTAGCACAAGAAGACTTATCCAAGCATCTCTCTGCCTCTGTAAAGGCAGCACCTGCTCGAGTCAAAAGGCATAAGTTGAATGTTCCAATGACCGACCACAAAATCAAGTTAATATTTAACATCACAGGTGAGTCAAAATATCGTCCTTCTCCTATTCGTTCTTTTTAAAAAACATGTTTCTAATACATTTAGTAAAACTTAGCCTTCAGTTTATAAAGCCTGATGGAGGTGCAGATGACAGTTTTGTGGAGACATTCATAACCCCATTTTATCACAGACTTTCTGCCTGGGGGAAAGATCACAGCCTCATGTTCACAGCCTCAGAGCATTTTGCACATGGCCTGCTTTCCGCTTTCCACTGGCAGGCTTGAGTGTTGCACTCTCAATGTACTGCAGAGTGCACTGGAAGTGCTAACTGTAAAATCTGTGTGCTTTTTGTGTTTTCTGTTTATATCCCAGCTAGCGTGCCACTGCCTGATGAAAGGAATGATACATTGGAACTGGAAAACCAGCGACGGCTCCTTAAAACTCTGGAGACAATCACGAACAGGCTGAATAGGACTCTCAATAAGGAACCCATGTATTCTTTTCAGTTTGCATCCGAACTCATTGTAGCTGACAGCAACTCACTGGAGACCGAGAAGGCCTTTCTTTTCTGCAGGCCTGGTTCTGTGCTGAGAGGGAGAATGTGTGGTAAGCCAAATGACTTGCTCCTTACATGTATTTAGTATCCTTTTGAAAGCAAGGTTTTAGAGGATGTTTGCAGAGGGTTATGGTTTGACACAGTCCAGTGCTTGTGGTCTCCCAGAACAATAAACTGCAAAAATGCTTTGCGCAGTTTGACTTCCAGAGGATGTTTATGTTCCTAACCAAGGCCTGTGGAAAAAGGATGCTTTTGTACCCAGGATTCCACTCCCATGGGGAAATCAGGCATATCCACACTTGGTGATACACAGAAAAACAGTGCTTGGTATGCAGTCTTTTAACCCTATTAGTCTTGTGGATGATGTGTAGCTGTGATAGAGAATTGGATTCCATTTCCTGTGCATAGTGAGATCTTTGCACTGTTCCAAAGCGATACCCCATTTGTTGCGGAACAGAGTCATATTTCACATAAACAGGGTTTGACTAAATGGGAAGTCCAGAGGCAAGACAAGTATGTATGATTGTGCATTCTGAGAGGAATCTTACGTTTCCAACATTACAGTCAACTGCCCTTTGGGTACCTATTACTCCCTGGAGCATCATACCTGTGAAAGCTGCTGGACTGGATCCTACCAAGATGAGGAAGGGCAGCTGGAATGCAAAAGTTGTCCATCTGGTAGCTATACTGAGTATCTGCACTCCAGGAGCATCTCTGAATGCAAAGGTGAGAACTTTGTCTTCTCCAGACAGCCACTTCTGAATTCCTGTTGATATCATTTTGGTCCCCGTTGTGGGCATATTGGAATGAGGTTAGCCTGTGAAATGAGGAGCAGTCCTAACTTCCCCCTGATGCATATGGAAAGAGAAAAATCCAGGTTTTCACCACTGCTGTGGCATGCAGGATGCTTGGGCAGGTGTTTTAAGAAGAGCTGACCTTTGAAGCTTTGTTTCATTTCTGTCTTCATTCTGTAAGGCTGTGAGCCTGTTTTGCAGGGACTGATACACTTAAAACAATGCCAGTCTTGTCCTTGCCGGCCCGTCTCCATCCTACCATGATCAAAGATGAAAAGTCTGCATCCTGCACTACAGTGCCCTGGTATTGAGCACTTCAGCACCACTATCTCTTTGTGACTTGTTCTGAAAAACAAGTAGCTAGTTTTATTTCCTGTTTATTGCCTTATCATTAATTTTGTTGATTAAAAATGAGTAACTGAGTCTCAATAAATCATCTGTGAAGCTGATCAGAAGAGAATGAACTGGTTAATAATTCACAAATGCACTATCAGTAACATACCAGAATTCCTTTTTTTTTTTTTTTTGCTCTTTGTACCCATGAAGTCCTTCAGAGTAGACTAAACCCTAGAAATAAAAGTCCCTGTGACATGTATTGTGATTTCAGCATTATTTTCAGAGGTTAGGAGCCATGTTTCCTGTTGGACATTGCTTCATCTTTATGAATTCCTTCTGCCTTATAGCTCAGTGCAAGCAGGGAACATATTCACCTAATGGTCTTGAGACCTGTGAAACATGTCCACTTGGCACATATCAGCCAGCATTTGGATCCAGGAATTGCATCTCTTGCCCGGAAAATACATCAACAGTAAAAAGAGGCGCAGTGGATGTCTCATCTTGTGGAGGTTTGTAACAAAAGTGGCTATGAAATTTTTAAAAATAAATTCTAAAAATTTCTAAATGTTGTTTAAACATCAGATAATGTAATCCCGTTCATCTGCCTGAGACTGAATTCCACTTCTGGTTAAGTGTGGACCAAGCAGCATTTCCAAGCAAAATGATAGGTCATTTCCTGATACCCTGATTATTTCAAATGCCCTCCTTCAGATTTCCAAGATGAATTCTTATCTAAAGATGAATAAAATGAGATATGTGATGGGTACCTACATGAAAATAAAACCTTTTTCCTTACAGAAGAGAAAGGGAATGACAGGATGTTTGTCACTATTGTCTCCAAAACAGTTTCCACGTCTTCTGTACAAAAATACTGCATTTTAACGCAGTTTGTTCCATAACTTTTTTTCATGAAATTGTCCTTAACTGTCTTTGGGAATCTTCACCAGAAAGATTCCCAGGGGAAATAATCTGCAGGGATTAATGGTACAAAAAGGACTTGTCTTTTGTTCTTACTGCTTCTTGAAGGAAAAAAAAACACACACACACAAAAAAACAGGTATGAAAGATATGAAAGGGAAAGGAAGTTGCATGTGAAAGCTGTCCCCAGAGCACCAAGAGGAACAGAACCAGATATTTCCGTAGTCCTTTGAGAACCACATGTCACCTAACAGCGCAATTTAAATAAGCATCTCCTCGAGTTGTGAATTCCTGGCAGGTTTCACCCTATTCCTTTAAGTCTGAGGAGGGACTATGAGGGGAGGAGAGAAAATGACCAGAAAGAGGTGGGAGGAGGCAGGGTATGGGTAAAAGTGATCACTCAAAAAAATGTCCTTTTTTTCTTGCAGTACCATGTCTTGCAGGCGAGTTCTCTCGTACAGGTTTAACGCCTTGCTACCCTTGTCCCAGAGACTACTATCAACCAGACCCGGGAAAGTCCTACTGCTTGTCTTGTCCCTTTTATGGAACAACAACTGTCATTGGTGCCAGATCCATCACAGATTGTTCAAGTAAGCCAAAGTATCTATGCTGGAGAAAGTGAATAAAGGGAACATCTAAAGGAAGGCCAGCAGTAGTCTTAACAGAAAACATCCCACTTACTCTCCTAACAAATGTAGACCTTCCATTTCAATCAGTGAAGTTCACAGCTGTTTTTGCCTACTGGTGTTGCCTGTGTGTTATGTAGAAGGAGTGACTGTATGATACATACCAAGGCTCAATAGCAGTGTACATGTACAGAGTGTGTATACACACACACACATTCCATATGTATACTATATATGTACACTATACAGAGTTACATATATACACAAATATATATACAAATATGTATATGCATGTATGTGTGTGTATAAATGCACATAAAATATATTTTATATCTACACACACATATGTGTGTTTTAGAAATGTATGTGCTTACAAATACATATTTGTGTGTAAAATATATATAAAATACTATGTGGTTACTGTAAAGTTTGCTTTTTATTCCCACAAATTCACTTTTTTCAGCATATCTTTAGATGGACTACTAACACGCAATTGTTGTGCCTTCATGGAGTAGGAACTTTGCCATACAGTATTATTAATAGCACTTTCATATCTTCCCTCTTTAGGTTTTGGCTCTACTTTTTCAGCAGCTGAGGAAAGTGTTATGATGGTACCAGCCTCTCCAGAAAATATCAGCAAGCAGTACAAAGTCAGCAGTCAGGCAAGAACAAGATATATTTTCCCATGTTATCTCAAATGAAAGAAAAAGTGCCTTAGGCAGCAGTAAATGACTAAGGCCTTTTTAAATGTAATCGTTATGCTGACTATGTTTCCTGAAGAGATGAGAGGGATGGTCATGAGGGGAGCACTCAAACTCTCTTTGTGATCATGGAAGCACTTTCACTGAACAAAGCAGGCTGCATCAGCTATTGGCAATCTTAAATTCTGGACTTGAAGCCTTCACCTGATGTACGAAGTATTTATCACACTTATAAAAGAAATGTAAACTCCATGGAGGACGTTCAGCCAATCTATAAAAAGTAGATTGACCACTCTCAGTCGTCTGATGTCTTCCATATGCTGAATTCCAGAAAATGCTACCAGGCATCTAACTCCCAGTTGTAAAATGTTTGTTTTACTTATTGCAACATAGATACACTTGAGAGGAGGCAAGCAGAGCTCCCTTCTGCTGTGAGTACCCCCTTTGAAATACAGGCAATTCCTCATGTGATAGAAACTACTCCAGTGACAGTGTTTGCTAGAGATGCCCTTTACCACCACCATCTCCCCCCCAGCCTGTAAATCTGACAAGACCGCTTTGTTTGAACCTAAAGTTAGGATATTGTGTAAACAGGAACAAAGTTGACTGAAGATAAATTTGGTCTGAACGATTATATAACATATAGGCAGGTGACAAACTGATCTCCTATGGTTTTAGTTGACTATTTACTCAAGGGCTTTGCTGAGTTCAGGTTTGCTACATCAGAAAAAATAACATGACACAGTGAAGTTCCCCAACAGTTCACCCGATGACCAGTAGCAGGAAGTGATTAGTCAGCATAAAAGGATGCAAAATGGAGAACTCTCGTAGAGAAGATATCATAATATAAAATGTCACCTGTGAATCATAGCTAAAGAAAGTACTAAGGGGACAACTGCAATGATCACATTTTGCTAGGTGAAAGGTCATTTTAAAATAACAATTCAAATTCCTGGTATTTTTCTCTAGAAAAAAGAATGGTTGGTGTGCTGAGGAGACAAAGAGGAAGAGCTAGAAGTTAATGCCAGTGAATTTTTTTTCCCAGCTTTCCAAAGTGACTATAGGGTGTGCAGTTTAAAATCGGAGTATTTTGTTCCACCTGTAATTGTATCATTCTTGCCTCTGGCAGGTCTTTCATGAGTGTTTCCTGGAACCGTGCCACAACAATGGGACATGCAAACAGTTGGGAAGTGGATATATTTGCATATGCCCACTTGGATATACAGGTAAAAAATTGAGAAGCAGGTGGAGGAGCTAACATGTCTCCGTGCCGTTAACATGAGCAAGCATCAAGGGGCAAAACATTTCAGTGCAAGAGTATAGCCTAACTAATCGGAATAGCCATCACAGATTTACCATATATAAGTATTAAGAAAAGAAATAGTTCCTCATGTTCTCGCTGAATTATATCCTGTTTGGCAGAAAAGGATTTTGAATGGAGTTTCTTTTAGTGGAGTTAGTAGATTTGAAAATCCTATCACTTGGCAATATTTATGATTAGCAAACCTGGAAATTTGCACTCTGAACAGCTAATTCCACCAGATCTGCCTGTACTCCTCTTCACTGTTAGCTTCCCAGTTGCTTCAAAGCAGATGACTTATTATTCAGCTGTTATCAATAAGTGATCTCTGTTTCTTGTGATAGGTATTAAGTGCCACTATTTGGAACTGATCAGTCTGTTGCCCTATGTGCATTATACGTTTCTAATAGCATTTTGTCTCAGGTCTGTGTTAAAACACAATCTAAAGAGAAGATAATAAACCTGAGTGTCTGGTAATGTATGCAATTAATCGGTCATATTTTCCTACATTAAGTAGTCATGACTTCTATGTTGCTGAACAGCTTCAAATTTTGTCTCCCTGTTCTCAGTCCTTTATTTTGCATTCTAGGCTTGAAATGTGAAACAGAAGTTGATGAGTGTAAATCATCTCCTTGTCGCAACAATGGAATGTGCAAAGATGGCATTGGGACCTTTGTTTGCCATTGTCAACCAGGCTATTCAGGTAATTTGTTTCACTTCATAGCTCTTCTTCAGACAGGCATTGTTTCTGTGCCAAGTAGATAACACAAAACACAAGGTCTATATGATTTCACATCCGTGGAATGATAACAGGAAAGCAAACTGATCTACAGGTTAGAGTAAGGTTCTACTGTATGTGGATAAGTTTTGAAATAAAAGGATGAGCATTCAAGGACAGTCTCTGTGCATGTTTGTGCATGTATGCTTCTGGTTGTGACATTTCTGGTCTGAAAAAAAAAAGGAATGAAGTTTAGGGAATCAGTGAGTACTCACAGCGAAACTACTTGGGAGACTGAATGTGGCCTGACTAGACAAAGCAGTTATGCAGTTGCTTTACTGCAGCCCTATGAGTAAGGGAGAGGGCTTTTTCTTATCTTTTTTCTCAGTCTTTTTAACTCTGACCTGCATGTATGTTGAAGGTATTGAAATATGTGGGTAAACTGACATGCTTGAGTACTTTGCCAAAACAGCACCTACTTTCTAAATATTGAAATAAACTATTGAGGAGATAATTTTGTGTGAATAAAAAAAAGGCCTGGTGTTTTCCACCAGAAATGGTTTCCCTTATTTTTCATGTTTATGGCTATACATGTATCGACAGCAACACTTGCTGGATATTTTTTGAACTTTATAAAGACACACCATGAACTTCACATCCCAGCATCTAAATAACACAGATGATCTCTGTAGATGTTTGTAGTAGTGCAGTCAAACATGGAATTTTATCACCTGATCTCAGTAGCCTTCTGTTATGCAAGCAGTATGGTGCAGTTCTGTCATCCTTCAGTCACTGCAGCATGCAGACCTTGACTATGTCTTGGTCATGCCTTGTATCCCTTGCTGTTTGAAGGTCTTTTGTGTGAGGAAGACATAAATGAATGTAGCTCCAGTCCGTGTTTGAATGGAGCCCACTGTGTTGACGGCAAGAACAGTTACCGCTGCACTTGTGCAAAAGGATTCACAGGTACATCTTTTTCTGTTAAAGTCAGCCTTTGCTCTTTCTGACCAAAAAAGATGTCTTCCTACCCTGTCCAAACTATTTCACTCTCATTGCTATCTATTACATATATTATGTGTTGATATGGATGTACTAGATTCCCTAGGTCCGTGTAATCTATCAGGGTCCCTGTAGTCTAAGTGTGGCTTCAGAAGGATTTACTAAGTGGTCAGTCTTCTATTCCTAATTTTGCCATGAACTCACTGTGTGGTGTTAAGGAAAGAATAAGGACATTCACATGGGTGCAAATTGTTATTTTTAATTTTATTTAAAAAACAAAAATACTATAACAGTAGACAAGATGGTCTATATTAAAACTGCTCCCCATCCCTATACTCAGCTTCTACTGCTTTCATAGATTTCTGTAACAACTAGATATATCTGTTGATTATCATGTAGCCAAAGAGCTCCACTATAAAATCACACGCAGTTTCTTCAGTCTTAGTGTTTGTAACATAGAGCGTCTTTCACAGCAGAAGTCCCAGAATCATGTGTTTCTGGCTTTCATGTTTCTCCTTAGAGTTAAGGTTCCAGCTAAATATCTTTTGTAGCAGCTTTTTATTAGTTGCTCAGAATGATTTCTCAGGTGATTTTCTGATTGAGCCCAAATTACTCCCCAAATGGGCAATATCTGTTTAAATTCCCCACAGCTTGCTGAGTGTTAATTTCTATGACTGCAAAGATGGTTCCTGCAATTCTTCTGTGACCACTTAACCTCCGTTAATGGGGTAAATCTCAAATTTACATGGCTGCCCTGGTGTTTACTGTTTCCCAGAAGATTGGCAACAGTCCTTAAAAAAAACAGAGTTAGTAATCTTCTTAGGTTAATTCAAAGCGGAGCTGTGACTTTTTTCTTCTCTTCTCAGGTGCTCACTGTGAAACGGAGGTCAATGAATGCCTTTCAAACCCGTGTCTTAATAGGGCTATTTGTGAAGATCGAGTTGGAAGTTTCTCCTGCAAGTGCCTCCCAGGTTTTAGTGGTGTCTTGTGTGAAAGAAACATCGATGAGTGTCTCAGCAGACCCTGTAGGAATGGAGCTACGTGCAGAGATGGTATCAACAGCTTCAGGTGAAAAACAGATGACTGATGTAATACAATGTGGAAAGTCAGATATGTTGTGGTGCTTCAGCCTTCTTAGATTTCAGCAAGGCATTTGGCAGCCTGATCCAACATAAATGGTCCCCTTATGCACACTAAAGGAGATTTTAAAAGGCAAGAAAATAAATCCTAGTTTCCTCACTCTTAAAAAAATTAGAAGGTAGACAGTGAAGAAAATATGCAGAGTTTGAAGTGTAAGCATGGTAGGACTGCATGGTTTTAATATTGATCTTCAAAAGAAATCCACTTTCCCAAGCTTCAAGGGCTTGTCTTGCCTTCCGCTAGAAGAACAGGTGGTGACCAGTGATGTACCTGATAATATTACATTCCTATAGCCTGCAAGACAGGGATAGCTGTACATATTGAGAATACAGAGATTAAAATACAAATACCACTGGAATCTTCCAAATATTTCTTTTCATGTTTTAGCATATCTGAACTCAGATCACAAGTTACAAACACCAACAGCAGTGTCATATCCTAGATCACTGTAGAGACAGAGAGTTTGAGAAGCTGTTACTGTCTGGGTTGAAGTCTTGGTGCTTTTCAAACACCTTGGTTTTCCAAGTACCAGAGGTTTTGGTGCCTTTCTACTGCCTTGGTTTTCCCTCAGTGCAAGCATATATGCCTGAAAAGTCAAATACCTCTCATCTATAATTCTGTGGACTCTAGAAGGCATGGTTCACTCAGAGGAATGCAATGATTGTCTCTCCCAATTTGATATGAAGAAACGCAGATATTGTGTTTAAATATAATATTGTCCCTATCAAGAATATTATGCAGCTAATAGAATACAAGCATACTTAAAGGAACAACCAAAATAAAACTCCATTAATTCTGTAGTGTCTCTTACACTGATTTTTTTTTTTTCAGTATATACCATTCCCATTGGTGGAGCTGGCCTCACAGCCAGCATTTCTTCTCATGATAGCAGCCACCTTTGAAGTGTGCTTCTCTTTTCTTCTGTAGGTGTCTGTGTGTGACAGGGTACACCGGACTAAACTGTGAAGTGAACATCAATGACTGTGACTCCAGTCCCTGCTTAAACCAAGCCACCTGTGTGGATGCCTTGAACTCGTACGTTTGTAAATGTCCTCCTGGCTTTACAGGCAGCAGGTGTGAAACAGGTACACAGGACCAAGTGTCAGAAAAAGGTGGCTTGACTGAGTCTCTGGGCAAGATTTGCACTGGCTGGGCTGATTTCATACAGCTTCCCCAGAAAGCAGCTAGGGTGGTGGGACTCTGAGAGGCTGAGGGGAGCCTGTGCGACTGCAGTGTTAGTAAATGTAATTGCAGACAAGTAACAGCATGTGTGCTATGTCATATCTATATTCATTTCTCTTTTCTAAGGCACAGTTCTATCTTTTTAATACCTAGTAGGTCTATCAAGTTTAATTTGTATTTCCTCTGTGTATCTTAGTTAATTAGCTCTTTCTGTTTCTTGTATTTCATGTAGGGCTTTGCATCACAGAGTTAGAGATTAGTATGAGGTAATCTCAGTTTTAGAAGTCAAGGCATCAAGCTCCCTATGGCCAAAAGGGCATCAAGTTCCCTATGGTTAGGCAAAATGGGTCACACCTCATCCAGCTTCCTGGATGATGCTGGAGTTAGGCCACACAACCACGAGGCTCAAATCCATTTGTCTCCTAGCCACTCCATCAAAATTATAAAGTGTTAACACTAGCAGCTGATGAACCTTTAAACAGAAGCTGAAGAACCCATGTTGATTTTACAGAGACAGTAGAGGACATACAGGTCATTTAGACCTACCATCCTATGTCTGAGTTTAACAACACCCAGCTTTCAGGAGAGCTCCACTCAGTACATTTACATGTAGTATCCTTGTAAAGCATGTCACTCTGCATTGAAGAGCAGCACAGAAATGCTGTTCCATACCAGTACAGTGTATTTCAGTTAAGTCCAGAGCAGATTATTATTTTTTTTTAATCTTGACTCTTGTGCATAAAATGGAACCAGCTGATCACTTCTCTTTGGGTTGTTGGATGGCAGATGGATACATCATTTCATTGACAGAACACTGAAAAGCAAGGTTCATGTTCATTGTTTGTTAGATAATCAGCTTCTTTTCCAGTCATTTTTCGTCAGATTCTGTATGTTTTCTAGCCTTGGAAAGCTCTGAATCCTGTCTGATGTTAGACTGCTATACGTTCTTTCTACCTCTGATCAATTTAAAGTGAATAATTTTTGTACATGGGTTGTGTTCCATTTTATTGCATTTGCTTAGATTCCATTTGATTCTTTTTCTGGGTTTTCAGGAATGTAGCTCTGAAAACTCTTTGTCTTTGTTGCAGAACAGTCCTCTGGTTTCAATCTTGATTTTGAAGTGTCTGGTATCTATGGATACGTCATGCTTGATGGTGTTTTCCCATCTCTTGGTGACATCACCTGTACATTCTGGATGAAATCCACTGACAGCACAAACTATGGGACTCCCATTTCTTATGCAGTGGAGAATGGAAGTGATAATGCATTTCTTCTGACTGATTACAACGGGTAAATCACAGTTCTGCTTTTCTGTAGCTTACAGGTGTCTTGAATTGATAAAGAAAGCATAGACCAGAAGTCTGAATATCAGCTTTGCCTACTTTGGGGTAGAAAAATTTGCATCCAAAGTCCGTAGCTGGAGTTGCCTCTTTGTTTTGTTTTTGTCTTTGCTTTGTTTCCTTCACTTTTTGCCAAATAGACGAGTAATGGCAAGAAAGAGTGAAGTTTAGAAAGCAGGATATTTTTGTCTGGCCTACATTTACATTTATATAAATGACACATTGAGACAATGATTGGATAAAATGGAGCTCAGCATTCAGAGTACTTGTAGTGTGACTCCAAAAGCAGGGATGGACCCAAGGGGCAAGTTTTAGAATCCACTATGCAGCCATTACTTGAGTCTTCATGTTTTAGTGCAAAAGCACATTACTTATCTCACCATGCGTTGCATATGATAACCGTAACTTCCAAGTTCTCTGAGAGAGATATCTTGTATGATGGTCTTTGAAGGAAGATTTCTTGTATGGTGTAGACACTGTTACCTCGTTTGGCAAATAACATTTCTTTGAGTCGTGTGGGACAGGCCATGGTTTTAGAGTTGCTGCATGCAACTGAGTATGCCTTCATCTTCCTTCCATGCAGCTGGGTTCTTTATGTAAATGGGAAAGAGAGGATCACAGACTGTCCTTCAGTGAACGATGGTAACTGGCATCACATTGCGGTCACATGGACATGCACAGATGGGGCATGGAAAGTGTACATCGATGGAAAACTGTCTGATGGGGGCAGTGGGCTGTCTGTTGGCTCAAAAATCCCTGGTATGCTTTATTTATATTACACCAGCTCTGTTGCCTTCATTCTGTTTTTATTGCAAAATTTGCTATGCCTGCAAGGAAATGTTTATTTTGGTGTTTTTAGTATGTTTTCACATTTTCAAGATTTATGCAGGGCTCGTGTTTGCTATTCTTGTTCACGACAACAGTTCCCTCACTTGGCCTCGCTGAAGACAAAGTGCACATTTCTAGGGTAAACTAGTAGGTAACTTGTTCTGGGGGTGACAGAGTTTAGTCCAAAAAGCAGCCTGTGCTGAGCTGAGTTTGGAACAGCTTTGTGAGAATAGGTTTCTCACACAACAAACAAGTTTAACTGGCATTTCCCTTATAAATGTGTGCTCAGAGTTGATTGAATTAGCCTTCTGTTACTTTCAGACATCTTTCTGAAGTTATGTTTCCATTTTTTCCTAACAAGGTGGGGTTTGCTGCTTCATTTTTTCCTGTGATCAGCAGTCTTTCCAGTAATATCAGAAGGCATGAAAGATACCTTCATCACTGAAGAGCTGTGAAATGCCTGACGTTAGATTGCTGCAAAGAGATTTGGTTTTGATAGTGTTTTCATACTGCGACCATCCAAATTTACATAGAGTTTCAAAAAACTATCATATTAAAAAAAAAAAGCAATAGTGAAGCATTTTAGTCTGTGTACCTTATGCTTGCCCCTGTCTTTCCCAATTACATCGGTATTACCTCCAGAGACAACACCTAAGGAAGTGTGCAGTCTCCATTACTTTTTGCCCTTGTCCACATACCCTGTGACGTACAAAATGCATGTCCACATCATCCGTGCTACTGGTCGAGCAGAGAAAATTTAACTTGTATGGCATGTCAGAACATTGACTGTCTAATCACCAATGTGCTTCTGAGGGTTTTGAATCAAATTTGTTCTACCTGACTTTCTAAGCTTTTGTTTAAACCAGGAAGTGCAAATTAGCACTGTAGAATATGCCCTACCTGCTCAAAACTGCGTTTTGCATTGCTCTGTAATATGCTTCAAATACTGAGCTAGAAGTGGTCTTTTAGAGCCAATACCATTTGTGAAGCAGTCATGTAAAGTTTCTGTTCTGATCAGCATGAGTTTAGCATTAATGAGTATTTGAGAGTCACTTCCAGATTGTTATGCTGACTTACCTCAGTCTAGCATAAGGCTTCCCAGAGGTTTGCTGAGAGAATTTGTTGAAGGTGGCTGGTTGCCTGCATTACAAGATCTTAGTAACACAGGGTAGCAAAAGTTTTGTTTCGATTAGTTTTTAGTCTTCCTATGGGGATCCCTGCCGTAAGGCTTGATTTCCTATCCCTGTTCTAATTCTCCCTGAGTTTAGGTGGTGGTGCACTTGTACTGGGTCAAGAGCAAGATCAGAAAGGAGAAGGATTCAACCCAGCTGAATCTTTTGTGGGCTCCATCAGCCAGCTCAACATTTGGGACCATGTCTTGTCTCCACAGCAGGTAAGTCCTTACTGGAGTGTTTGAGCACAGGGCTCTGAGCGTAGGATGAACATTTGCAAAGGCATTCAAAGTCAGCACATTGGATAGACCTCTGTTCCCACAGAAGTCAGTGGGGACCAGATGAAGCTCTGGTTTAGGATAATAAGCTTAGTGTAGTAAGCGGAGTAGCTTTAAGCAAAACTAGGTGTGGTAAAATCAACACTGAGTCACCTTCTATTTTGACTGAGCCTTTCTGTATTATGTAGTTTTGAAAGAGAAATAAAGGCATACACGAAAGCTAGCAGTCCTGTTAGAAGTGGGAGAAAACCAAATGAAACAAGCTCAGGGCTTGCTTTACAGATTACAGTTCCCTCATCCTGCTGTGTGAAGGCACCGGTAGAACTTCAGAGAGGAGGCATCAAAATTCCTCTCAATGTGTTAGACACTGTGAAAAATCTGAGCTATATAGTCCCAGGAAAAGTCTGAATGGGCAGCATAACTGAGTATTAGGCTACTTTTATTCAGGTACCAAAATAAAGGTTTGGCACTAAACGTTCACAGAGTTAGAGTATTAGTATAGATCAAAAGATGTCTCCAAGGACAGTGATCCCTCAACTTCCCTGGGAGACAAGCTTCAGTGCTCAGTTATCCTCAGAGTGAAATTTTTTTCTTTATATCTAGTTGGAACCTCCCCTTTCCATTTATGACTGCTGTTTCTGTCTCCCACTTTGCAATGCTGGGAAGAGCCTGACTGTATACTTGATTACCTCCCCATAGGTACTGGGGGCTGCTGTTAGGTGTCCCCAAAGCTGTCTCTGCTCCAGGCTGAACCAGCCTTGGTCCCACAGCCTCTTCTCACAGGGCAAATGCTCCAGCCCATCACCTTTTTGATGCCCTCCCCTGAACTTGCTCCAGCTGGTCAATGTCTTTCTTGTACTGAGGAGTCCAAAATGGAATGCAATACTCCAGATGTGGTCTAGTAAGCACTGAGAAGAGGGAATAATCCCTTCCTTGGTTTTCTGGTTGTGACCCTATTCACACAGCCAAGGGTGCTGTTGTTCCTTATTATTGGCAGGGCACACAGCTGGCCGATACTCAGCTCACCGCCTGCCAGAGCCCCTAGGTCCTTTTCCACAGAGCTGTTCCCCCTCCAGGCTTTCCCCAGCCTGTATTATTCAGAGGTCTTTTCCTTCCCATTTGTTCTTGTTGAATTTCATGAGGTCTGTGTTGGCCCATTCCTCCAGCCTGTCAAGGTCCCAGTGGATGCAGCTCTGTCCTTGAGCATACTGACTGGGCCTCCGAGTTTGATATTGTCTGCAAACCTGATGGCAGTGTGCTCCATCACCACTTCCTGGTCATTCGTACTTCAATCCTGAAGGTCAGAAATGGTGAAACTGTTGGTAACAGTTGAACAGCAAGGACTAATGTTCAAAGTTAGATGCATTTCCTGGGGGAAGGGTCTTTGGATTAAAAGATTTTGCTCTTCCCCTCATGTTTTTTTAAGGTTTTACCACTATGTGGTGGTTTATCACTGTTTGTTATCCGTGATCCAAATAAGAAATAACAAAATGAACAGAAAATAGAAGTAAAGCAAAATCTTTGCTTCCAGCATCCAAATGTTTCCTCTGTTTCTTTCTCCTTTTCTTTGCTACTTTGGCTTTCTGCTGGGTTCAGAACAGCCCAGCAGTCTGCTACTGTTCTTGGCTTTTGGGGTCACCAATTGTTGCATTGCCAAGTCAGGTTTTTGTTCACTAGCAGTTTTGCAGCTGATAAGTATACATGTGATTTTACAGGACACACCGGTGAAGAGATTAAGTGTGATTTTCTGAGTCTTTCTCAGTAGTCGCCTGTCTTTAATGACAAGCTTGATTAAATTCCCATTTGCTTCAAATGCAATACAGTCAGGACAAGGAAGAAAATCCTGCCCTTCATTTTTGGTATCCATATTACTCATCTGAAAAGACAGATGTGAGACCAGACAGGGAGCTGAGCCAAGTAAGCTTCCTATAAAATTTTTATCTCATTTATTTCAGAGCTTAGGATAGTAAATCACTATCATTATCTGTTATTATCAGTTTTGTTGTGGCCAGCTGGAACTGCTCAGTAAGTCTTACCTTCCTGTACTCAGCTATAAAGGAAAGCAGGGTGACAGAATATGTTGCCCAGTGAATAACGTAAACACAAAGTCCACTCTTTAAGATTTTTCTTTGTGTACTTTAGTTGCTTATCCACTTGCACATTAATTTTGTGTAGGTAAACCAACAGTCTGGTTGTTTTGTTGCTGAGTAGACAGCAGTAGAAATATGAGTTGTCTATATGGGACTGTGAGGTTCTTTCCAGCCCTCCATTCTCCATCATATGGCTTGGAAAGGCTAATTCCTAAGCATGCCTTTCCCACACTGGAAATTTTTCCCTGCAGATTCCTTGCAGTTTCTTTGCAGCCCTTAGCCTAAGCAGTTTCCATCAGCACATACTGTTGAAGTGAGATCTTTGAAATAGCCTCAGAATAAACAGAGCACGTTGCTCTCTTCTCCAGCTAAGCTGACTCTAGAAGAGTCTGATCCACCTCACTGGTGTTCAGGGTAGGGAGAAAGTGAGAATAATTCAGTCTGAAGTTCATGGTGTACATTCCTTTCTCACAAAGACAGACAGTATAGCACGTTATTCTTGGTAGTTGATTTCATCCACTGGAGACTTGACAGAAGCCCGTCACCCATCTGAGAAAGGCACTTTCCCAACTGTTTGGCATGAACTGGGCACACCTGTGCTTTCTAACCAGCTAGCTGTGCCCTGAAGCCATCCTGCATGTATTGTGTGGGTAGGCTGGCTGTGCTGAGAGGTACACAGCCCACTGGGCTGCTCATCTTTGCTCTTCTTAATTCATTTTTTGATGCTGCTGAAGGAAACATTCCTTTCTCCCTGCCAGGGAATTACTGGAATGACCCTCCAGCACAGAAGAGCCAAAGAGTAGGAATTACTCTCAGTAGCCTAATAACTAACATGTTCTCTTAATTGAATAACCATCTTTTCTCCATAGACCACTTCCCTCTCTGATATCTTAAAAGAAGAGGAAATCCTTAATTATCCCGTTACTGCACATTTATCCTCCTCAGAGCACATATGTTTTTTTTCAGCAGTTCCATGGCTGAGATATGATTGCATCTGTCCTGATAGGGAGAAATGTAATGGGGAGTACTGTGCCAATAATATACCTTAGTCCCAATCACCTTCTGGGACTATGTTTCCTTGCTGTTCCTGGAGTTATAGTGAACAAAGGCAATGCAGAGTGAATCCAAAGCTCTGGTCTTTCATTTGCAGCTTTAAAACACTTTGATGTAGCAGAAATCTCCCTAAGCATCCAATGGAACTAGACGGCCTTCTTTTTTACAAATGTTAGGGTCGGGACATCTGAGCTCCTTCCAAGGGACCACTGTGGAATATTTATGTGACATCCCATCATGAAGGATCTGTCTGTGTATTCTTACTATTGCATATAATTTACACTGGTGTCTGAATAGCTGTACCATCTGGCGTTGTAGTCCCTGAGTTCCTTCTATTGGTGGCCAGAAAGAAATATAATAATGTTACTATGTTTAATAGATTCTGAGAGTCACGGTGAAGAAGTAGAAATATTTTTACCTTATTGAATTTTTTTTTTTACATTAAAATACAATACTGAAACAACTGAAGGATTTCCATTGGCTTTTCAGTTTCTTGTAGTAAGAATGCAAAAGAAACCCCTAGTGGTGCCATTAAAGGAGTTATGTTTTAAATGGAAAACTTTTCCATCAAAGATATTGTCGTGGTTTAACCCCAGCTGGCAACTAAGCACCACACAGCCGCTTGCTCACTCCACCACCGGTGGGATGGGGGAGAGAATTGGAAGGGCAAAAGGGGAAAACTCGTGGGTTGAGATAAGAACAGTTTAATAACTAAAGTAAAGTAAAAAATAGAACAGTAGTAATAGTAATAATAACAATAATAATAAAACCAAATAATAATAATACGATAGTAATATAAAGCAAGTGATACACTGTACAATTGGCCCACCACCCACCGACCGATGCCCAGCACATCCCCCAAGCAGCAATCATTGCCCCCCAGCCAACTCCCCCAGTTTATATACTGAGCATGATGTCATATGGTATGGAATAGCCCTTTGGCCAGTCTGGGCCAGCTGTCCTGGCTGTGCCCCCTCCCTGCACGTTGCAGAGCATGGGAAGCTGAAAAGTCCTTGACCAGTGTGAGCACCACTTAGCAACTACATAGCACTGCTTAGCAAGAACCAAAGCTCAGTGTGTTATCGACATTGTTCTTATCCTAAACCCGAAACACAGCACCATACTCGCTACCAAGAAGAAAATTAACTATCCCAGCTGAAAACAGGGCAGATATTTGACCAGATCTGCTCTCAAGATACTAATCTGCTATTGATCTAACAGTGTGTTCCTTTCTTTCTCCTAGCCTTAGTTTGCCTATATAATTCCTGTTTCAGTACATGGTTAGTTATGGCCCTGTCGTGCTTTGTTTGAAGTCAATGCCAGTACTGGTGTTAGTATGGGTGTGGGTAGGCCTTGCCTGCAGTGTTTTGAAGAGCCTACTGCATTGAATTCACAAAACTCTTGTCCTGGAAACAACAAATTGCTTTATTAAACTGCTTCTTTTTGTGTTTCTGTTCCTTAAACGTGGTGCAGTGCTATCAGAGTTTGTGGAGTGCAAATCTTCAACATTAAGTTCCTCTTGGCTCCTATTTGACATTTTAATGCAAATACATCAAGTTTTCTCTTCAGGTTGCATTTTCATACCTGCCTTTTTCTGGGACATAGATACATTTTTCCTTCATGCTGACAAATGCAATTGTGTTTCCAGAACTATGTTTTATACTTTGCTTGTGTGACAAGAATTCCTTAAGGTATTGCCTCAGTAAATGCCTGTCCACAGCTAGCTGGCTTTTAAGTACAGAATAATAAGTAGTTCAGCCAGAAGCTTCTTGTGCTAAAAAGTATGAACATCGCTTATTCAATGATTTGTTCTAGTGTTGCATGCAGACATGGAAGGAATATTTTTTTACATTCTTTTCCTACATGGTCCTTAAACAGCACCTAATCAACTGTTTTAAATCCGTAGGTAAAATCTCTGGCTACATCCTGTCCAGAAGAACTCCAAAAAGGAAATGTACTAGCCTGGCCGGATTTCCTGCCAGGAGTTGTTGGAAGAGTGAAGATAGATTACAAGAGTATATTTTGTGCTGGTTAGAACTTTATTTCCTAGAACCCTTTTTTTCTGAACAGTATTATAAGACTCTTTTATGAGGTCAAATATGCTAGCTTGCAGCCTTTGCCCTACTAACCTTGAATAAATTATTTCAATAATTTGACAGTTAGAACAGTCAGTCCTTCATTCCTTGAATTCCAGGGTTTTGTAACAAAAGTTAATTAGAATCTCTGACAGAGATTTATTGTTTCCTGAATTGAGA